GAAATAGGGAAAGATATGACAGGAATGAACAAACATTGGACAGAACTGGAGAGGGAAGCCCAGGACAGAGTTGGTTGGAGAAAACTGGTGGGCGGCCTATGCTCCATCTGGGGGTAACAGGCGTAAATAAGTAAGTAAGAACACAGAGAAATGGAGTCAGAGATCATGTTTACACATTTTATTAATTGTATATTCTGGGGCAATCAAGTAATCAATGCAGTTGTTAGGAAAAGGGTATATTAAGTAAGGATGACAAATCGATTTGAGGAAGTAATGCATTTTCATTAGTTGAGATGGTTGCGATATGTACTACGTATACCTGATAGGATATTCACTCCAATATCCTATTAGTCGATTTCTATTGGTCAAAATTATGTTCGTTTTAACTGTCCAAGTCAAATACTTGAATGTTGTCTCTTATTGGTCATCCGGACTATCATGTCGTTTAAAATGTTACTTCTATTGGTCGTCTTAACTGTCAAATGTCACAGAATCGATGCTGTTTTCCTATTCGACCAAAATGTATAGATACGCATCTGTAACATTTTATGACCACGACCAGGACCAGGGGCTCGGTCCCGGATCCCTAGTCCAGGATCCTGATTCTCTTCTGAATTCGGAACTTGTACTTTCTGGATGCTTGTCGAATACAGGTTCTACTAAATACCAGGTCTTCTTATTTTTACTTAATATGGTGGTTGGGATAATCGTATTTGAGTAGCATGTCGTGTCGCCGGATCCTCGATTATCGCTCTCGTTTTTCCGACTACGTGGACTCGTAATAGTTCAAGCATATCAAGTTGACGTGTTTATGTGGAGGCGTAACAGATTCAAATCTAGGACTTCCGATCTCGCGTGCAAACGCCTAATCTCTAGACCACTGAGAGTAGAAGATGTTCGTAGGTTACTAGTTTTTAATCATCGGTGTCTCGTATATCGTGGGACAACCGAGTAAGCAATGCTGTAGTTAGGAAACGAGTACTAGGTAAGGATGGTAGATCAATAGATGAAGTAGTGAAACTTCATCAGTTGAGGTGGTTGGGAACATGTGTTATGCATGCCTAACACCGACAGCCTCGACGAGTTACGTTTTGTGGTGTAGGAGTAGGTTGGAAGAAAGTTAGGGGCGGCCAAACAAAAACATGGCAGAAATCCATGAAGTCACTAACAAGTGGACTGAGTCATGTTGGTAGATGTAGGCTACCTGGTTGGAATACGCGAGACGATAGTAATCGATGGTTAGAAACCTTGAACGACATGGCTCAAAATCGTTTGCAATGACGCAGTGCATTCATCATTAGTGTTCTCTCAAATCCTAATCTTCTGAATTCATCAACACCTCTACTTTTGTCTTTTGAACCTTATCTCACTGAATTATACTTCTGGAATAATATCTTTTAACTCTGGTCTTCTTCATTACCATTAATACCTCTACTATCTTTATCACTATGGGATTTGATTTGACATTTGCGTCTCTGTGTTAATGTGGTATGGCAACATGAACTTATGTACATACGTACGAAGTTCTACGTTGCAACTGACTGACTGGTAGGTGTCGACTATCTGACTAGGGTTCGCGAGATGATAGTAACCGCTGATTAAAGTTGTTGAATGACATGATTCTAAAACGCTTACAATGGTGCAGGTGCGTCCAATCCTTGTGTTCACTGGAATTCTTTCTCTTCTCAAATTTATTTCACTAGATTCTACTCTTTGAATAATATCTTCGAACCCGAATCTTCTCCATTACTGTTAATACTTCTACTACATCTACCGCTCTGACATTCGAATTAACAATTGCATCTCTGTGCTATCGTGGTATAGAAACCTGTACTGATATGTGCGTACGTACGAAGTTCTACGTTGTAGTTGACTGACTGATACAGTGATAAACCATGTTTAACCCCTATTTTTATATTGAAGAGTAATTGGCTAATCAGGTTATTCTGACAGAATATTTTGTACATAAAATAAAAAGAAATTGGTTATTTTGTTTATAATTGAATTCAATTTCTTCTTTCTTATTTTCACTCTGTGTTTACATTTAAATAGTATTGATTGACCCTAACTAGTTCGGGTTTATAATCCTTCATCTCTCTTTTTTTTATATCATCAAGAGTTGTCGATTCGGGTGTTAGGAAACACCAACACATGGGTTCGAACTACTAATATCAGTCAGTCAATCAGTCAGTTAGTACATAGAACTTGGCACATAGGTACATCAGTTCATTTTTCCATGTACTATACAACATGTCCTATACAACAATTAATTTCAGAGACTACATTTGTTTAAGAAAATAGGGTGTTGGGGATGTTAGATCCCCAAAACTCGCTTGATCAATGCCTTATTTTGGTTTTCACGTTTGCCAGCATGGGCTGATCAGTTGACCTTGAGATTTCATTTCACACCAGGAAAATCCATGGCCGTGATTGGCTGCTGTGTATTTTAGTGCGCTATTTTCTTAACTGTCCCAAGGACGTTTCTATGATGTATAAATAAACGAGAGTTGTATGCTTGATTGCATTGTGATTGCTGGGTGGGATGGGATTATACTACAGGTCACATGCCGGATGAAGAAGGAAGGTTGGGCATGGGGTCAGCGACCGCATAGCGTAGAACACCAACTGGCTAAAAAACGCTAAACCGAAGAAAATAATCCAAACCATTTAAAGTCTGCCCTAACAGTTCGAAGGTTTTCGCTTAGAAAAGTTATCATGCCTCATGATAAAACTCGAGAGGTTGGTGCCCCTTCTCACAACCAGAACAATCAATATTTTAAGGAGATGCAATTTTCACACTATATGGAAGTCCAAAAAAATCAGTCAAGTTGCTGTGGAAATGAAAAGATACAACCTGGGGGTGCTTAGCACGAAAAAAACACATTGGATGCAGGTTTGACAAAAAAACTAGCTTCAGGAGAGATGCTGTTATACTCCGGTCGCGGAAAAGAAAATGCCTTACACACACACAAAAGAAGTCGCAGTGATACTGTTCAAACAAGCACAAAAATAACTGATAGGAAGGGAATCTCATGGACTCAGGATCACCAAAGTCTACTGTGAAAAACAGGAAAAGATGAAATTGCAATGAACGTCATCCAATCCTATGCACCTACCAATGATAACAATGAGGTCCTTAAAGATCAATTCTATGAGAGGCTGTATTCAATAGTTGAGAAACATCCAACAAAGGAACCGACCATTCCAATCGGAGACCTAAATGATAAGGATGCCATGGACAACATTGGATATGAAGACATCATGAGACAACTGCATTTGACTGCATTATGAAGACGTCAACATCTTAGAGGAAGTATGGAATACAGTGGACAGCTTGGATGACCTAGACAGCTCGAACTTAGCACATGACACAGCTCTTCTAACCTCACACGCAGCAACAAATGCAGTTGAAGACACACACATTGAGGAAAGCACCCAAATGAGTCACAAGACAAGCCCTCACTCGGAATCCTCAAGGTCAAGGGAAAAGAGGAAGACTAAAAAGCATAGTACGTCAAGACATTCATGAGAAGAATGGACAAAAATTGGACAGAACTGGAAAGGGAAACCCAGGACAGTGTAGGTTGGAAAATACTGGTCGGCGGCCTATGCTCCACTCGGGGTAACAGGCATGAGTAAGTAAGTACACAAAATCTTACAAATAAATTAGCAATACCCCTTCATTTGATTCATTTAAAATAAAGATTATACATGATTATCAGTTGGTCAATTGGATATACTTAGAGAAAAATCAAACATTACTCACTCGACAGGCTAGTACAGATAACAACCGTTCTTGAAGTGTGAGAATTGAACCCATTCGACCACTTTCAAATGATGATGTCTGTAGAATAATATAACAAGGGATAATATTCATTTAGAAATCAGATCAATAACCACTTTTTATGGTTGAACGTCGTTTAATAATAATAATAAGGTTACAAGAGACGTTCATGTCCTTGAAACGCTTAACAAGATACTCAAAATAAGTGAATTGAGTTTGATCAATCAGCTAAAGCTAGAAAACTATGAATACATTGAAATCTGAAATTTTCTAAGAGGGTTTGCATTGATCACAAGTACTTTGTAGAATAATGAAATTTAACTTCCGGTCTGTTTAACAGTTTCTTCGTTCTGTTGATGAACGAATCATTGTTAGTCCAAGAACCGGACGGTCGTTTCTTCATGATATGGGATTCATCAGCAGTGAGTATCAACAACTCCTGCTAATCACAGGATTCTGTTAGGATATTCATCCAATATCCTAAGAGAATTATTGGTCAATTCTTATTGGTTAATTCCTACTGTTCAATTTTATGGTCGTCCTAGATATCAATGTCACGTGCTCCAGTGTTGTTTCTTATTGGTTGTCCTGACTGTCAATGTCACTTCCTATTGGTCGTCTTAACCGTCAATGTCACAGAATTCGATGCAGTTTCCTATTCGACCAAAAAGTATAAATACGGATTATCTGTAACATTTTATGACCAGGACTCAGTCCCGGATCCCCAGTCCAGGATCCTGATTCTCTTCTAGACTCGGACCTCCTAGTTTCTGGATGCTTGTAGAATACATGTTCTACGTCATATCAAGTCTTCTTATTTTTCACTCAATATAGGGGTTGGGATAATCGGATTTGAGTAGCATGTTGTATCACCGGATCCTCGCTCTCGTTTTCTGACTAAGGTAAATAACTCGTAATAGTTCAAGTATATCAAGCTGACGTGTTTACGTGCAGGCGTAACAGATTCAAATCTAGGACCTTTTGATCTCGCGTGCAAACGCCTAATCTCTAGACCCGTGAGCCAGCCAGCATCCAACGGTGTTCATGTCTAACTCTGAACAATCTAAGGGTTTTTTACACAACCTCACCCATTTGCGTCTTTGGTAGTTTTACTGCTTAGATCGGACAGAGTTGAACTCCACTGAACATATCTTCTCACTACAATCTCTATAAAATACTCTAATGCAAAATTATGAAATTCGTTTATTATTTTTATGAATGAATAAAAAAATTTTATACTCACTTTATCCGAATGCAATCCAACCAAAAGATAATTACCAAGTTTTAAACATTGTTCAAGGAATGACAAATGACCAATATCTATTTGTCACATGACGACGTTTCAATGAATACAGTTTAAAGTATGATATAGTTAAAGATATAATCGAATGCAGTTACACGTGTTAATAATTCGAGTCATTTTCAACTTGTACGCGAATAGTTCAGACAAACAAACAAAAATTAACAGTTGAACAATGCAACACATTGAAGCAGCAATCAATCAATAGCAACGTAGAACTTCGTACGTAAATACATCAGTTCATGTTGCCATACCACATTAGCACAGAGATGTAATTGTCAATTCAAATCCCATGGTAGTAGAGGTAGTAAAAATATCAGCAGTGATCGGAGAGATTAGGGTTCAAAGATATTATTCAAGAAGCAGAATCTAGTGAAATAAGTCTACAAAGAAAAAGCTTAGGACTTGAGAGAACAAAAAAAATGAATGCACCTGAGCCATGTCATTCAGGGTCTCTAACCATCGATTATCATCATCTCGCCGGCTCCAACCAGGTAATCGACACCAACCGACATGGCTCAGTCCACTTGTCAATGACTTCATGGATTTCTGTCATGTTTTGATCTGGCCGACCCTAACTTTCTTCCAACCTATTCCTACACTACAAAACATAGCTCGTCGAGGCAGTCGGTGGTTAGGCATACGTCACACATGTCCCAACCAGTTCAACTGGTTGAGTTTCAATACTTCATCTATTGATCTGTCATTCTTACCCAACACCCGTTTCCTAATAACAGCGTTGTTCGCTCGGGTGTCCCAGGATATACGAGCAATACTTCGGAGACACCTATGATCGAAAACCAGTAACCTACGGATATCTTCTACACTGACTGGCCATGTTACACAGCCATAAAGCAGGACAGAGAGAACTACTGCTAATACTTCTACTATCTCTACTACAATGGGATTTGAATTGACAGTCGCATATCTCTGGTATGGTAGCTTCAACACAGATGCCCATACGAAGACTTTTCATTCGGATTTATCTTTTCTAAATCACTAAGTCTCGGGTTTGGTGAATCAGTGTTTCTTTGTTCAACATGATCCAGTGCTCCGTGTACAGCAGCAGCGTATAGATCAAGCAATAATCTCAGTCCTTCCTCTCATTATCGTATCATTCATTGTGTGGAGCAGTGAATAGGTAAAACAGGTGATAGTTAACTTCTATCATTATACACGCACACACACACAAAAGCGCACGCAGAAAGGATACGGAATAGATCAAATGTACCCGGTACATAGACAACAATATCATTACTAGTTGGTTCACGAAATTGTCCAGCACAAAATTGACTTATACGTAAAATATTTGGCATATAAGTCATACCCCCAGTAGACCAAATTGATACATTAATAGAATTAGTCACATCATTTTCATGATTATCACCACTAGCAGGATGATGATTATTAGTTTTGGCGTAATTTGAATTTAAACCAGGATAAATGGGTGATAATGTTTCATTTGTCTAGAAAAAGAAAAAAGAAAATAAATAAGCAAAAAACAAAGTGTTAATGACACAAGAGACGGTGCTTCATACTACTCTAAAAAGCATTATTGAAAGTTGCAGTTTTGAATTCCTCTTCACGACCGTTTCAATTTAAACAACCAGATAGTATGTACCAATAGACTTGAGCATATAAACCTTTGTTCAGTTAACAAGTAATCAGTAGGAAATCGTTGTTGCAGATTCTACTTTTATCTTTCCCGACCGTAGCTGCTACCTTGACGTGGTGGTCGGGCTTGCCTATCGTGATGACCCAACCGAGCTACACTGGCTGGAACTTATGTTCCTGCAGGTCCTACCATGCCAGGCTGGTCGATTGGAGAACGATGAGACTAAAAGCAGCTACCCAAGGTCTGAGGGCGAAGTCGTACTGCTAACTGACTGTATAGGGGTGTGACAGCAGTAAGGTGTTTCCCTCGGACAACCAGCATCTGCAGCGATGCTGCCTTCTCACAAGGGAGGAAGGGTTAGAAAAGGTCGGCCCTAAAAATGTCACACCTCCCCTAACTCACGGATTTTCGTCTCCTTGGGTAAGGGTGCCCACTAAGGGCCTTTAAGAACGGAGCTAATCCTCTAAATACCTTTCATAAAAAGGCCGTACGTGACCGGGCCTCAAGCAGTTGTCCCTTGGGCTCTGCGGTCACGCACCAACAGTAATCCATCTTCCTTTTCAGGTCCCTCAAGAAACAACTTTCCACGGTGTGGGCAGCCGGGAAGTGACAACCGCCCTCATACCCGTAACAGCACGTGACTACTTTTATCCTTAAAGGAAAACAATGTTGTGTTGAGAAGATTTAACCGGGAGGTAATAAACTTCAGAGGTTATTTCTCTCAGGTCTTACTAGTGTATAATGATTACATAGTTTTTCCATTATAGTACCACTATGGTGATCGTGGTCTTACATTGAAATCCTGAAGAATCATAGTTAGACCACCATTAGAAACCTCGAAGCACTGGGCAGCCGTCTCAACCTGGTATGCGCATCCATAACTCCTGCTACTCACAGAATATGAACCCAGGATCATCGATCATACGCGCGAACGGTTTAACCTCTGAACTATTGAGCCGGCATCGAACGGTCTAACTTCGACCAACCATGGGCTCGAATCCAGCGAGTTGCAGGAGTCATGAATGCGCCCTGCTGATGAGTCCCAGTGCTTCCAGATTTCTAAAGGTAGTCTAACAATCATTGATCAATTTATGATTTCCAAAATATTTACATTTGTTTATTTACATTTCTTACTCAGTAGTTTTAACAAATTTTGACCTACTTTCTATTATACTATGTACTATGTACTATCATTTTACAATTTATTATATAAAATGTTCAGTTTATGATCAATTTCAAACATTTCACTTGGTATATGTGTTATCATTGACTAGAACAATATAGATAATATAAGCGGACACTATGGTTTTCAAGGAATGAGATAAGTGAAACTAACAACACAATTTATGAGCCAATCATATCACAAGAATATATAGAGATTACGTGATACTACACATAAAATAGGTAAAAAGTACAAAAGTAAGAAGACAAATGTACTTTAGTTAGTGGTAAAAATAATAATAATAAAATGCCATAACAAAAGTTCATTTGGCCAATAAGTTCAACATTAGAAACGTGCATAAACAATCTTCAAAATAATTATCACAAAACATGATAACAATTAGTGTTTTGGAGGTTTTGTGTGTTTTTTACACATTTTTTGAAAACGATCAATCAAAATCATTGTTAGACCATCATTTGAAACCCGGAAGCATTGGATGGCCGTTTCATCCTGGTATGTGACTCATCAGTGGCAGCGAGCATCCACGACTCCTGCACCTCGCAGGATTCGAACTGGGGACCTTCGGACTTGTGAGCGAACGCCTAATCTTTGGGCCATTGGGCTGGCATACAACGGTGTGAATGTCTAAATCTGACTGATCTACGGATTTGTCTTCGGTAGTTACGGCCTACACCCGACAGGGATGAACTCCATTGATCACGTCTTCTCATTACTAGAACTCGGAGAATTTCCTCACTAGTGAGCACATTGTACGATATTTTCAATTAGAGTTATGGAGATTAGTGTTTTTACACATTTTTGAAATCATCAATCAATCATCGTTAGACCACCATTAGAAACCTGCAAGAAGCACTGGATGGCCGTTTCGTACTGGTATGGGACTCATTATTACAATCACATAATAGTCAGTCAGTTGCAACGTAGAACGTCGTACGTATGTACATAAGTTCATGTTGCCATACCACATTAGCACACAGAGACGCAAATGTCAAATCAAATCCCATAGTGATAGAGATAGTAGAGGTATTAATGGTAATGAAGAAGACTAGAGTTCCAAGATATTATTCAAGAAGTATAATTCAGTGAGATACGTTTAGAAAGACAAAGGTATAGGTGCTGACAAATCCAGAAGATTAGGATTTGAGAGAGCTCAAAGAATGGATCCACCTGCGTCGTTGCAAACGGTTTTGAGCCATGCCATTCAAGGTCTCTAACCATTGGTGACTTTCGTCTCACGGACCCCAACCAGGTAGCCTACATCTACCAACCATGACTCAGTGCACTTGTCAGTGACTACATGAATTTCTGTCATGTTTTTGTTCTGGCCGCCCCCTTACTTTCTTCCAGCCTACTCCTACACCACAAAACATAGCCCGTCGAGGCAGTCGGTGCTTAGCCATTCGTAACACATGTCCAAACCACCTCAACTGATGACGTTTCACCACTTCATCTACATAATAAGAAATGTGTGAAATAATGAGATAGCGAAGAACATAAACCAGAAGAGACGAAAGAATAACAAACAAATACAGGATGTCAATATTAATAGCACATTTAATTCAAAACGAATGAACTGTTTCATTCATCAGTTCCAATTTCATTCAGACAATGATCTCTTTCACTCAAAACTCAATAATATATATATATATTCAACAAGAGGTGGTTAGCAGTTGAATTCACGACAGACATTTCGTCCTATTCGGCACTTGTCAGCTGGATGTACTTTCATCTCAGATTTGGTGTTCACTCTTGGATTCGAGTCCAGCATTGTTCATTGAATCTATGTTAATAATAATTGCTTGTAATCTAAAGAGTAATGACGAAACAATTTGCACAGGATGTATGTATACCAAAAAGAGATACTGATCAATTTGATGTCTTAAAAATCAATCCGTAGATTCAAATTGATATGCTTGTATGCTATGACGAGTTCCTCTTAATCGGTGACGGAGCGAAGACAAATGATACGGTGATACAATAGGCTACTCTAATCTGTTTTTCTCCGGTACTGCTAACTAGAGGAAGAAGTCTCCATATGGCGTAGAAAGTGTATTCTACAAGAATCTAGAAAATACGAGGTCAATAAGCACATAAATCGAGCTTATTTATACATGATAGAAACAACCTTGGAAGAGCTACAAAAATAGCGTACTAAAATAATCCATCAACCAATGACAGTCAAGAATTTCCCGAGTGGCAAATGTAATCCTCAAGGTCAACTAAGCAGCTTATGCGCGAACACATGAAAAAAAATTATCCAAAATTAGGACACTGTCCAAAGTGAGTTCTGCAGATCTAACCACCTCACACCACCAAACACACACACAAATAAGCCAATATATAAGAAATGAATTACCTTACAAGGATGCATAAATTTATCTTTCGTTTTTAATACAGAATCTAATGATTGTGTACGTCGTATGGATGATTCAGTACTTGAAGCGAATTGTGATGCATAAGTACCTTGATCTTGTAATTGTTGTATACGTTTTAACATTCTGTATGGAAGAAACAATTAAAAACATTACATATATACATGGATAAAAATGAAATCAATCATTACGATACATAGTTATTTGCATTACGGGGTTGTTGTGAAGATTGTTAAGTTACATACACATTTTTTTGAAACCATGAATCGATCAATGTTAGTAGATCACCATTAGAGAAACCTGGGAGAAGCACTGGCAGACGGCCGTTTCGTGGTTTCATGGTTTCAAAAAATGTGTAACTTAACAATCTTCACAACAACCCCCGTAATGCAAATTACCTGTGCTCACTAGTGACGACTAGCTTCTTCGTGAGGAATCTTCTCCGAGTTCTAGTGGGAAGACGTGACCACTGTGAATTCAACCTGTTCGGGTGTAGACAGTAACTACTACCGAAGACAGTGTATGAGGTTGCGCAACTCCGTGAATTGATCAAGTTAGACATTAACACCGTTGGATAATAGCCGGCCCAGTGGTCCGATGGTTAGGCGTTCGCGCACAATACCGAAGTTCCTGGGTTCGAATCCTGCGGGGTGCAGGAGTCGTGGATGCACATGGATGAGTAGTCCCATACCAGGGCGAGACGGCCGTCCAGTGCTTCCAGGTTTCTAATGGTGGTCTAACATTAATCGATTCATGGTTTCGAAAATGTGTAACATAGTTATTTGTGTCAAAATAACCAGTCATGATAAACACATAAAAACTACCCAAGCCGATAGGAATCAAATATCATTTCACATGCTGATGTAGTGGCAGTTTCTCTTTATAGGAAATCAATTTTGATGTTCGAGTCAGAAATTATGGAAGAAAATAAGTTAGGGAGTCAGTCAGTTACAATGTAGAATTTTGTACGTAAGTACATCAGTTCCGGTTGCCATACCATCATATTAGAACACAGAGAGATGCATTTGTCAGTTCAAATCCTATAGTAGTAGAGGTAGTGGATGTATTAGCGGTAATGGAGAAGAATACGGTTTGAAGATTTGTTTAGTGAGATAAACTTAGAATGAGAAAAATAGAGATGATGAGGAATTCCTACGATTGGAATTTCAGAGAACACAAAGAGGGAATGCACTTGTGTCACATTGCAAACGATTTTGATCCATGTCATTCAACGTCTCTAACCATCTCGGTTACTTTCGCCTCACAGATTCCAACCAGGTAGCCTACATCCACCAACATGACTCAGTCCACATGTCAGTGACTTCATAGATTTGTGCCATGTTTTAGTTTAGCCGACCTTAGCTTTTTTCCAACCTGTGGAATAAAATAATTACTCGGTAAGTCTTCATTGTAAGGGCAGACATATATAACTTAGTCAGTCAGTCAGTTTTGTATTTTAGTTATAGAATTCTGAATGTTATGTATATCAATTAGATTGACACTGTGATTTGTCAAATGAATAAGTGGTAAACGTTACTGAATCAACATCCAAACGCTCTGGTACGGCGGAAGATGCAGAGTGACTACTTCCTCTCAAAATGTTCTCATACAGCCACGTATATGAAACCAGTGCCAAGGAAGCCCAACCCAATGTCTTCCCGAGATAAGCGCGTTGTTAACAAAACTGAGAAGGCGAAAAGCGAACATTCGACGTTTTAACAGCGTTGGTGAGTATGGAGGATCAACAGGGTAGACGAGTTGGAACACCATCATTTCAAAACCAACGGTACATATGCGATCCTGAGAGAACAAATGGTGTGTGGATTTAACGCTGGCCACCAGTTATCATGAGACTGAATATCTTATATGGTTGTCTCCACTGCCTTGTGGATCAGACTTTTGAGTCAAGCGCTTAAAGTTTGGTCTTCTAAGAAAACCACTTGCTTTTGTTTGGGCAGAATTGGAAAGGGAGGCCCAGGACAGCGTAGACTGGGAAATGCTGTTCAGCGGCCTATGCCCCACTGGGGGTAACAGGCGTAAGTGTGGCACATGAGACGGTGTACGTTCTGATTGACCTTGCGAGACAGTCGATTCTTGGCTTTACGTGGAAGTTAGAAGACTCCGATCGATTGTTCTCGCGTGAGGGAGTTGGAGACAAGATCGTTGGAATGCCTGCTGGTTAGTGCACTACTGGGTGACTCAGTAAATTGTACAGGGTGCCAGGACTAACTAGGTAAACCCACCTTGTTACCCTTGCCGATTTGGGATTATGGGATGTAATATAGTTGGAGGGGATTGAGTTGATTGTGGTGGTATTTTGTTCTCTGACCTGGTTGTTTTGGTTGTGGAGCTTTCATTGTTCTTCTGAACAACATCATCAGCACGAACTTCAGATAGAAGTGAAGCATCAGAATTTCTCCACGTTTGACCTGTAGCTTGTTCTGCTAACCTCGATCTTGATTGGTTGTTGTTGACCTTTGACCTGTCGTTGTTTGCAACTATGTTTTGATTGCCTCCCTCTTTTGATCTGTTTCTTGATCTAGTGTCACCTATGATTTTCCTGATTGGTTGATAAATTGGGTCAATGTCGATGTGTTTGTTGATTGCTAATTGACCTGAGTGCCAAGCTTCTAGAAATTCTCTAGTGTTCTTTGTCCTCCCCCCTACCCAGTATTTCCACGTTGTACCAATCAGAAAAATCATAGGTGACACTAGATCAAGAAACAGATCAAAAGAGGGAGGCAATCAAAACATAGTTGCAAACAACGACAGGTCAAATGTCAACAACAACCAATCAAGATCGAGGTTAGCAGAACAAGCTACAGGTCAAACGTGGAGAAATTCTAATGCTTCACTTCTATCTGAAGTTCGTGCTGATGATGTTGTTCAGAAGAACAATGAAAGCTCCACAACCAAAACAACCAGCTCAGAGAACAAAACACCACCACAATCAACTCAATCCCTCCAACTATACCATATCCCATAATCCCTAATCGGCAAGGGTAACAAGGTGGGTTTACATAGTTAGTCCTGGCACCCTGTACAATTTACCGAGTCACTCAGTAGTGCACTAACCAGCAACCATTTCAACGAGCTATTGTCCAACTCCCTCACGCAAGAACAATCGATCGGAGTCTTCTAACCTCCATGTAAAGCCAAGAATCGACTGTCTCGCAAGGTCAGTCAGAACGTACACCCTTCCATGTGCCACACTTACTTAGGCCTGTTACCTCCCAGTGGAGCATAGGCAGCTGAACAGCATTTCCCAGTCTACGCTGTCCTGGGCCTCCCTTTCCAATTCTGCCCAAACCAAAGCAAGTGGTTTTCTTGGAAGACCAAACTTTGAGCGCTTGACTCAAAGGTCTGATCCGCAAGGCAGTGAGACAACAATAAATGATATTCAGTCTCATGATAACTGGTGGCCAGCGTTAGATCCACACACTATTTCTTCTCTCAGGATCCGAGAGCGCATATGTACCGTTGGTTTTGAAATGATGGTGTTCCAACTCGTCTACCATGTTGATCCTCCGTACTCACCAACCCTGTTGAAGCATCAGATATTCGCTTTTCGTCTTCTCAGTTTTGTTAACAACGCGCTTATCTCGAGAAGACATTGGGTTGGACTTCTTTGGCACTGGTTTCATATACGTGGCTGTATGAGAACATTTCGAGAGGAAGTAGTCACTCCCCATCTTCCGCCGTACCAGAGCGTTTGGATGTTGATTCAGTAACGTTTACCACTTATTCATTTCACAAATCACAGTGTAAATCTAACTGACATACATAACGTTCAGAATTCTATAACTAAAATACAAAACTGACTGACTGACTAAGTTATATATGTCTGCCCTTACAATAAAGACTTACCTAGTAATTATTTTGTTCCATAGGTTGGAAAAAAGCTAGGGTCGGCCAAACCAAAACATGGCACAAATCTATGAAGTCACTGACAAGTGGACTGAGTCATGTTGGGGGATGTAAACTACCTGGTTGGAATCTGTGAGACGAAAGTAACCGAGATGGTTAGAGACGTTGAATGACATGGATCAAAATCGTTTGCCATGTGACACAAGTGCATTCCCTCTTTGTGTTCTCTGAAATTCCAATCGTAGGAATTCCTCATCATCTCTATCATTCACATTCTAAGTTTATTTCACTAAATAATATCTTCGAAGAGTATTCTTCTCCACTACCGCTAATACTTCTACTACCTCTACCTCTACTATGAGATTTGAACTGAAAAATGCGTCTCTTTGTGTGCTAACATGGTATGGCAACCGGAACTGATGTACTTACGTACGAAGTTCTACGTTGTAACTGACTGACTGACTGATTTTCTTCCATAATTTATGACTCGAATATTAAAGTTAATTTCCCATAAAGAGAAACTGTCATTAAATCAGCATTTGAAATGGTATTTGATTCTTATCGGCTTGGGTAATAATTTAGGTGTTTGTCATGACTGGTTATTTTGAAACAAATAACAATGTCACACATTTTTGAAACCATGAATCGATCAATGTTAGACCACCATTCAAAAACCTGGGAGCACTGAACGGCTGTTTCGTCCCGGTATGGGACTCCTCAGTAGTGCGCATCCACGACTCCTGCACCCCGCAGTATTAGAACCCAAGACCTTCGGTATTGTGCGCGAATGCCCCAACCATTAGACCACTGAGCCGGTGTCTAATGGTGTTAATGTCTAACTTGATCAAATTCACGGAGTTGCGCAACCTCATACACAGTCTTCGGTAGTAGTTACTGCCTACACCCGAACAGGTTGAACTTCACTAGTCACGTCTTCCCACTAGAACTCGGAGAAGATTCCTCACGAAGAAGCTAGTCGTCACTAGTTAGCACAGGTAATTTGCATTACGGGGTTGTTGTGAAGATTGTTAAGTTACACATTTTTCGAAACCATGAAACCACAAAACGGCCGTCTGCCAGTGCTTCTCCCAGGTTTCTCTAATGGTGGTCTACTAACATTGATCAATTCATGCTTTCAAAAAAATGTGTGTGTAACTTAACAATCTTCACAACAACCCCGTAATGCAAATAATTATGTGTCATGATGATTGATTTCATTTTTAGCCATGTATATATATGTAATGTTTTTAATTGTTTCT